TCGTAGTCAAATTTCTGGTATAAGAAAAGAGGCCTTGTGTTCAGTGTGAAACAAGTCGACCAAATACGACTCAAAAATAGGTTATTTGAAACGAGGTTATTGAAATCCCTGTAGCATCAACTTATCTTTGAGTCGTATGTACATTGCAAGTTCTCGAGTAGCAAATGAGTTGGAAAGATAAACACCAGAAGCAGATGGTAGTTTGATATTGATACACTGTAAAAAAAAAAATAACCAGTTAAAATCACCAAGTAGACTAGTAAATTTACTGTCCATACAATCACTACCTTGAGAGTAGTTTTACTAGGTATTATTACAAGATAAGATGAGTAAATCTATAATTGACAAGTAACTATTACTGGGTATCTAAGTATTTATACGACCCCCGCTTCACAGCTCACTATGTTAGCTAGTAAACTAAAAGCTTACTTATCAAGACAAACGCTTTACAAGGCACATTAGTTAAATTCACTAGGTTCTTCTTCAAGTGTAAATAATTAAGGAAATTTGACGATTTTTTTTAAATCCTGAAAAAAAAAGAAACGTGATCAGGGAAAAAGCACAGACACCTGCAAACAAGAGAGTGGTGGCTAAGTGTAGAAGGAATCCCCCTCCTGTTGATCTGTAACACCCACACAAGCCCCCTATAATAAACTTAGCCTAAATAATCTTACCTAAACAATGGTGTGGAATATCTTTTTAAAATGGCAAAAGACAAGGATAATGCTCTAGCAAGTAAGTTTATCTAAACAACCATAGAAATTGTTAAAACTTGCATTTTATTGACATTAAAGAAAGCTCTGTGACGTCAAATTGATGACATTGTCAGCAAATACAATTTATCATTGAGTCAAATGCTGACTGAAGTTTTTCATTCTACATGTAATTGTATGTCCATTATTTTTAATACACTGAATTGACGACGGATTTTTTTCCGTTATTTCCCGATAAAGGACAAGGAGCAAACAGCGCGTGTGACCGGTCGGCAGGGGAGGTTCACTTCTCCATGGCACATGATCCCACCATTGATGTGTTGGAGGTCCGTGTTTGTTCTGTACCTACTTTGTGTTGTTTAAAGGATTTTTTTTATCTTGAATACTGTTCGTTATCTCCATATGTTTTATTGTTAAAAGCCTTTCTCAGAATAAAATTATCGTATTTGTAACATATATTTTCGTACTAAATTTGTAAATTGACAGAAACACTATTTTCATTTGAGATAGAATATTAATAACCAATTAACAGTTTTTTTTCCAATACATGTAAATATGAATGTACACCCATGATATTCAAATCAAAATATTTGAATGACAATGTTTTTTTTAAATTTGCTTAAAGACAGAGATTTTAAGCACCACCTTCAAAAATACCTTGTCTGGGTAGCCCTGTCAATCAAGTGCATGAAGGTCAATCATTGGATGCTGGAACTTGATTGACATTTACTTACTGATCTCTGTGTATACCTTGTACACCTTGTTTGGGACTCGTGGGGAATTCAAATAAATTTTGATCCTTTGATGTTTACCGAACATGGTATAGAGAAACTGTTTTACTATGAAAATTTTAGCTTGATTAAAATATGAATTAAATATACCTTTAGTGTTTAAAAGGATTATATTATATAAGTAATAAATATACAATTTTTTTTTATGAAAATTAAACTTTGGTACATTAAACCGTTTTATTTGGTTCTTTTTGGAATGAAATGTCAACATTTATTTCATTATGGTAATAAAACAGTAAACCTATAGTGGAATATTATTTATTAAGTTTAGAGCAGCACTGTGAGTAGTAATTAAATTTAAAAATATGTAAATGTTTCTAATCATGGGTCACTTATATTTTTTTTAAATTCAGATAAGAATTTACAAGGCAGCAATCTTTTTAGCATGTTTCATGATGACAAAGCCTAATAATCTTTGTTTTAATATTTGAATTTATAGTATGCTATCATAATATTTTTCTTAATGGTAAGGGGTGTTGTCAAATATTACAAATAATAAATCAATAAAGATTATTGAGGGAAAAAAAAAACAGTTAATTACAATTTTGCCTCTAATATGAAATTGTCTCAAAATCCCTAACACAGGTAAAGTTTGACATCTGGATATTTCACTGTGTATTAAATCACTTCCTGTGTATAGGGATTAGAAGACAGATGACCACAGGTAGACTTCTTGCCCCCAAGGCATTCACACCTGTACAAAATAAGCCCTGCCCTCACCTGGAATTTACCACCCGGTAAAAAATCTCTGCCTTTAAGAAAATATTAATCCATTACATTTATACTGGAGACAAAATGTTTTTTTTTTTCAAAAGAGCTTTACATTAACATTTTAAGGGAACAATAAGGGAGAATTAATTTAGACTGGATTATCTTTAAAAATGTGAAATTGGAAGAAAGTTTCACTGAAATTCCGGAAGAATATCATTTATTACACTATTGGAGGATTTAACATATCTGATTATGACCTCTACTATTTATCTTTCATAATGAGATTCAAGCTGTCCCGTGTTAATCTCTATTATCTTGAAAGTTTGCATGTTTTAAACGAATTTCTAATGTAGAGAAATGAAAAAAATTTCACTCTGTCACGTCATGTTCATTGCTAAAGTAAATAACGCACTACGAACAGTGCAACCTTAGAACAGTAAAACGAATACCTTGAAGTTACGTAATGGATCTTTATAATCTCTGTTAGCTGTAATTCGTTAAGAACTAATCAAATAACAAAAGTTTCAAGGAAGAAAACATATTTTTATTGATTTCTCTCGGTTTTCCATAATATCAGCTCTTCCTCTTTTTCTTTATCTTGAAAACATGTATGTCATTATTGTGTACCACTTCCCCTAATATGAAGTGATAAAATATGACTGTAACAAAAATCCAACAAGAACACATTGATGTAACCATCAATTATCGCCCGGGATATATATAGAGTAAACAATGAAAATGAGTCTTGTTCATCAAACCGCTTCGATATGTGTGAAAAGGCATTCGTCTAATTGATGGAGACGATAGTCCCGAATATTTTGAAAACTTGTAGTCGGATAAAAATCAATCAAAAACGATATCATTTTAAACTTGATCAATTCCTCAATTAAATATAGGCTGCATAAATATAAATTGAAGTTAGATACACGCATCATATTTAAAAATGTATCAATTTTCAATTTTAGAATATAAAACACGAACTGTGCAGAGTACGTTTTTATCCGAAAAGTAAAATTCGATATTGTAAAAAAAGGAACCTGTCGTTTTTTCGATAAGTAAATGATAAGCACTTTTACTTTATATATCAAATATGAAAAACATATATATTTTTACAGATTTACTTTATGGAAGTAAATATATTATGTATCTCGTAATTTATGAACGGAAAGAACATTCTGATTAACAATCTTTTCAATGTTTAGAAAACCTTTAATTCTAAATAACTACTCCCACCCCAATCCCCATACACCAACACTTAAACTTATATGTATACAGCAGCCCGGTCCTCCGGGCTGCAATTAACAATTCCATTTTTGGAGCAAAGGACTCCTAAAACATCAAAACAACTTTGGACAGAGAAAATGCGGAACTTTATAAACATCGGAGGTGGGAGTAGGTGTCATGGGGAAGTAAGCATCCTTCCGGTCACAGCCGCATTATGAAAAAAATTAGAACCTATCTTTAACAAAAGCTTTTATTCAGTTAACTTCTGCACTACTATTAAGCCATATTGGGGAGTTTATTTGATTAACTAAACGGTTTGAAAAGATAATATAATGATTAACAGTAAGTTCCTTACATTTCCCTTTAAAAAGTAGGAAGCAAATTACGCCTACACCTGATCCAAGGCTGATTTTTTAATAAGCAGATAAATAATGAAGATGATATAAAAGGCAGTAAAGAAACATGATATACACAGGCCTCCAAAACCATCTTTGGTGTGATACAAAAGTAAGCATTCTTTATCGACTGGGCACACTCGCATGGTACTTTTTGTCATAATCAGATATAGTAGCAAATTTGATGAATATACTCAAGTAAGAAAATGGTAGAATAAACTATTGTAAAAAGCAGAGTGTCACATGCGTGGTTTCTTTCATTATGCAACAGCAGAGAATCATGGCATCCTTTCTTGAAGGCTTTGGTCTCGAGGGGACGATCAAGTACCATTTGCATGATCGCCTCCCGCGACATGATATTTTCTGGGACTACCATTAAAGTGCATTTGATGTTAGAGGGGATATTGATATCTAACAGCTCTACAATTCAAATAAATATTTCATGCCATGGATTTAATGTTACAACAATAGACATACCCTTATTTTTTACTTTTCAGAGGTGGCAGTGAGCTTAAACAGTAACAAGCTTAGAAAGGCTAAGATCTCAACAATATACTTTGTCAATGTGAAATTCATCAAATATTCAAAAAGTGTGTGCTTTCCATAAAAACAGTTTAGTAAATGAAAAATCAATGACCAACACAGAGGGAAATCATGACAAAAAGTGAATAAGAGTAATATGATGCAAATGAGATATGCTTACGGATGACCTTTGTTGGCCTGTATGAAATTTGAAAATTTTAAACTTTAAAATATTTTTTTTCCTATAGTATTTCAAGTTTTGACAATTTATTGTTATTTTGGGTTTTTTCATAGCAAAAATTGTTCAAACATTTACTACAATGAACATGCACAGTACAATTTTCATCCTTGAACAACTATATATACCTGGCATATAGATCAGAATATGTAACCATTCGTATTATTCGCCTCGCTCCTTTACGTTTTGTTTCATTATGTGATTGTAATAATATCTTATTCTCTAAACTTTATGTAAGTTCTAAACGTTAAGAGAAAGAAATTACAAGAAAACATTAAAAATGAGCAAATTGTTAAAAGATGCTGACAAAACTATCTTCATGTTTTTTCACTAATATAAACAATTTAACCGTTCGTAAATAGCTGAAAAACATAAGGTATTACTGACTCCTATTTTTTTGTTGTAGCTTCAAACTTCATTGGCAAACAGAATATCTCAGCTATCATTGGTACATACAGTGAAATATATCATCATGCAACCTGCTATCAAAGAGTACCCTACATCGTCACATCCGGTCTGCCACATGACGTCACGGAGAGTCCTTTCTTGTTAAACATTTTACCTGGGATGTATAGCTATGCTTTGGCAATTAATGACATTGTGACGTATTTTGGCTGGAAGAGAGTGGCTGTAGTCTACGACTGGGAAGAAGGTAGTAGATTTAGTGATTGTTTTAATCATATTTCTTTAACTCATTTTTAAAAAATGCTGAATAACCGTTATGCTTAGAGGGAAATTTAAGGCAACATTAACGTTTCATGTAACAAACCCTGCAGGTTATGAAATGTAATATTCTTACTTCATGCATGTTTATCATGATTTTTCTCAGTTTCCTTTAAATGACTATGTTATAAATTTCTAGAAGTAAAATCATACAATAGAATTCCGGAAAATAATGTTTTGAATAATATTTTGCAATTGCTTGTAGATGAAAACCATTGCTTGTAGATCTCCGCTTAACAATAAATAGTTTTCTTTTGCAGATATATTACCTCTTCACATGTTTCGTGAGTGAAGTTGAAATTCCTAGAAAAATGTTTGCATTTGCATGTTATTTTTTAAAAAATATTCATTGGTACCACCCTATTCTAGAAATAGGCCTATTCACTTAATTGAGAAAAAAAATATAAGATTGAGAAGAGGGAATTGATACTGCTTTATAACTGCATGAGTTGGGAAGGTATAAATAGATTAGAACCCCATCCTTGCTGCTCTCATATCCATCTTATTATTTAATAGTTGCAATACTTTATTATCCATAATATAGTAGTGAGCGTGTAACCTTGCTCAAGGCTATTTCAGATGAAGACTTTGCTTTACTGAAATCAAAGTTTGCATGAAAAAAACCCTGAATGTTTTCCCTATGAAAAATATATATACATTTCTCCATCCCTTTAAATATCTCTCATTTTTATCATGCACAATCGAAAACGTCATTTTGGCATGGTAATTATCACGAATACCCCCTTTTATTACCGTTGTATTAAGCCAAAAATGAAAATGAATGATATTTTATGGCAGTTTTGACATTACAATGTATATCAAGCTTAATTTTGTGAGTATTAGAATTTGTCCCGTTTTATTACACACAGATGTTGTAGGATTTTTATTATTGTTGGTTTTGTGTACGTATGGTCAATCGTATGGTCGTGTGATGTGGTAGTGACTATTGAAAAATACATTTGTATACAGATCGTTTTTACATGATGAATTATTTCCACATCTGAAACTTTTACTTGCCAGATACTTTTGCAACTGAGTGACAACACGTACAAATAAACTGAGTTGTTGAAATCGGTATGCAAACGGTTGTATCTTAACCTTTGTTTCGTAATGGTCATCTTTATGGTATTTGTTGATAGAGAAAATGCCATCATTGTTAACTTGGTGTTTCACTCTTATACATGTTCTTAGGACCTTCAGGATATTTTTCAGTCCCTAACCACTAGATGTCTTTTACCCAACGTAAAAGGACATATATCCACCAAACATACATAATATTTTGAATAGTTTTGAAATCTGCTTGAACTGTCATCAACAAGTTAATTACGATCAGAACTGAAGGTACTTCTTGACAGAAGTTGCAGGAAATATTAACCCACTATTGATCACTTGTTTCACTGAATTTGGCGTGAAATTTCTCAGGTTCGCTTCTAACTAAAGGTTAATAAATTCAAGTATTGTTGTGGGCAGTCTAGACTCTGGTTGGTATTTAAACGTGAGCTCAAGTAATTCTTTTGAAAAATAATCATTGCCGTATATATTTTAAACATTACATGCAAAGGTCGTGTTGATTTAATTGCTGGTGGAAAAAGATAAATAAAGCAACAAAGTGCGTCTTTTCTTGCTGCTTGATCTATCTTCAAATGTTGTCGTTCTAAATTAAATTCAAACTCATTTAACAAATCACTTTCTTGAAAGATATTTGATGATTTAAATTGCAGCTTACAGACAAGATTGCCTTTATTTGCTCTTTAAATATATATTTTTGTATGTTTATTCTGTTTGCAAAATGTTTTAATATTATCTGTTTTCTCAGGTCCTCCAATAATGTCTTTACTAGTGGATAGACACCCAACAGACCTTAAGGCCTACAACATACGTCATAATACGTCATCAGCCCACGTCAGAGGCATCCTGCGGGACCTCCGCAACAGATTCATCGACAGAATAATAGTTATTTGCTCATCACTCAATACAAATATTGTTTTAACTCAGGTAATGGTGGGTTTGATGTTTTTCTAGTAAACTATTGACAGTTAATGCTCAATACCTATTAAAACAGGTTATATATTTGTAAGATAAATATTTGGATACATAGTTATGATTATTCTTCCTTATTACTATTTAATGCAGGCTTTGTACCTGAGCCTCCTCTCCCGTCCATATGAATGGCTGATTGCAAATGTGGTATGTTTGCTTTCATTTTGTTCATTACACAGCATTATCAAATACTTCATTTAAAACAACAGATCATGTAATCCTATGGTGTCATAATCCTAATGTGAAATGAAAAAAATATTCAGGTCTTGTATAGTCTAGTGGTTTTTAATATATGACAGCTAAAATTAAGATAACACTTAACACCAAGGTTACAAGGACAAAAATTAACAACGGAAAACTAATACTTAAACATAATGGCTTATTTAAGTATATTAATTTAGTGTAACTTTCAGCGTGTATGCATACAAAATACATGTATAATCTACCGATCAGATATTGCTCACAAGCCTTTTTAGCAACATTTTGTTCTATTCTTTTCGCACTTGCAAACAACTTTCCCCTGTTTTAAAGTCACAGCTCTGTATAAGAAATGGAATTGGTTGTATTAACGTAGTCAATCTTAAACGTCCATAGAAACAATACAAAATAGGAGCAGAGCAAACACGGACCTCCAAAACATCAGAGGTGGGATTGGTGCGATGGGGGAGTGAGCATACCAGTTAGAACAGTCATACTTGTCGTGTACTCTCCGTCATGATCGGGAAAAAACAAGAGAAAACGTAGACAAGAGAGTGTGTAAACTATGGACTAACAATAACTTGTAATATGAATTATGTCAGTAAGCATTTATCTCAATAATATAGATACTAGTAGTATATTCTAACAAGGTCATTATACCACCTAAAATCTTGCGTAATGATGACTTCAAAAAAGACCTCTGATGTTCTTGTTTCATCAACATTTTTTAAAAACCTTTCTTTGTTTATGAAATCGGACAGACGTAGAGCATGCTCTTGGGTATCGAATCAACTGAGAAATAAGTGTTTATTGCTGCATAGGTAAGGAAATTTGATTATGAAAAGTTAAATTCTTCAAACTTATCATACATTTTGGTTGTTAGATTACCATTTAGTCTCTTTCTGTAGTGCCATATCCATTTATGAAACAGATGTACCTGACTCTGTGTTATCTTTTGTTCAGGCTCAATGGAATATTTCCAGTCGACATATGAATGGAAGTAACCGTTAAGTTTCTGTGTTGTTAAAATCCGTTCCATTTTAAAATTGTCCACCTGGGAGTAGGGCAAATACAAGTCAAATAAAAATAAGGGGCACAGCAATAAAAAATATAGTAAAGACAAGTATTAGTTATCGATCTCATAAAAAACTTCAAATAGTACAAATTTGTAAACAGGGCAGACTCTTAACAACGGAAGGTTACAAATTGAAAACATAATTATGAAGAATTTTATCATTTCAAAAAGATTTTTAAGTATAAGCTTAATTTTATTATTACATGTGGAATTTATTGAAAGTTCTTCTAAAACACAGTTGAAATCAGTTTCTAACATTTAAAGAAGAAAACACTTGCTACATGTGGCCTTCAACTCAACATTTAGATATATCGACGACATATTGTTAATTAACAATGATAATTTCAATTCCTATCATGTCGATACGATATATCCTGGTGAGCTTGAGATAAAAGATACCACATAGTATGACACATCTGTTTCATACTTGGATATTTTACTTGTAATGAAAAAGACGTTAATAGTAATCTAACAACCATGCTCTATGATAAACATGATGACCTTAACTTTCCTATCGTCAACTTCCCTTACTTATGCAGCAACATACCTTCATCACCTGCATACGGCGTTTATATATCTCAGTTGATTCGATTCGCAAGAGAATGCTCTTCGTATGAATAATTTCTAAAACGAGGTAAATTATTGACAAGCACGTTGATGAAATAAGAATATCAGCAGTCTCGTTTAAAGTCATCATTTCGTCAGTTCTTTGGTCGATACAATGACCTTGTCAGCAAATACAATTTATCACTGTCAAATGTTGACGGACGTTTTTCATACTAATTGTTAGTCTATTTTTTAAAAACTGCATTGACGACGGATTTTTTCGTTATTTCCCGATTATGACAAGAAGCACAAGACGGGTGTGACCGGTTAGCAGGAAATGCTCACTCCTCCATGGCACCTGATCCCACCTCTGATGTTTTAGAGGTCCATGTTTGCTCTGCTCCTATTTTGTATTGTTTCATGGACTTTCATATTGAATACTGATCGTTATCTCCATATTCTTCATTTATACAATTCTCTTGAACCATTTTGCGTATAAAATGTGCTCACCCTATTCAACAGATTTCGAAATTTGGTTTTTTTTAACTAGATCAGCTTTATTTATCCATAAAAGGCCTTACACTTCAATCAACTCTTATCCGATGTGTATTTTAATATTGCGTAGTTATTCAATCTGTATTTATTATGTTTTAGCAATTTGCAACCATTAGTAGAATAGTAGATCTCATCTGCAAATGTTATTTTCTAATACCATTAACTGGTACTATCTTGGCGATTTAATGGCAACATTTGACAATTGTAAATGTATTTTCAAAAGACAAACATTTTAATCAATGGTATTAGTTTTATGCTTAAATACGCTTACCCAGGCTTTTATACGGGGCTAAATGTAAAGAACCTTTTTATTACATGATCAAATAATTTGATATTTTATCTAGCAAGTTATTTTATCAGGGGACAGACGTGGCTGTCTTAGACGATTACCTAGATTCCCGCGTTAATCTGACGTCACTTCTACTAATGATCAACAGTAACCCGGATGATTGTGCCTTGGGGAAGGGGAACGTTTCCTTGTCTAATGCCGTCCTACACGACGCCTTCAAGATTTACATGAACATTCTAGAACAACATGTGAACAAAAACAGACTACAGATGAGGAAAGCGTTACGAAATGTACTTGACTCTTCATTTTATTTATTTCAGTTTAAAAGCTTAAACTTTTTTATTTGAAAAAAAGTATTTTTATTTCTTTAGATCCAATCCATGAATATCCCATCCTTCCCAACCTCATACTAATTTTTACATAATCTTTTCCAGAATGATTTAGACTTGAAGAATGTGAGCAATTCTTTTTCTATGAAAAGCACATAAATGTCGTAATGTCTCACAAACCATATTTCATATATTTTCATTACGTCACAGTTTCCTTAAAATCTTCCATGCTTAAACTGAAAAATTAATTGTCGGTTTGCATGTCAATAAATCTGATGGGAAGCATGCAAAACTTACCACTTTCCCTTCACATTTAGCTATTACTGACCGTTTCATGTTGGATCGTGACTTACAAATTTTCCTTTCTTACGTTTTATGTATTCTTTTCCTACATACAATATACTTAAGTAATCAAAGTAAAATTCACTTTATAGCACATTCTTTTTCAATTCATTTTTGGTATGATTAATTGAAAAGCAACATCCGATCTTTTGATTGGTGCTTTCTGTGGTTTGTCTACCAGTCTGTCTGTACTATACTACTCATATCATAAAAGTGAATCGGCCTGATGGTGATATAATACCAGCATTTAAGTTGACCCTGCCCTCAAAACCATGAATTTTATAAATCAATAGAAAGAATTTTAAATATCTTCATATTGAAGTGTTATTTGTTTTTGTTTTTTTTTTTGTTATATTCTATAAAGTCTAACTATCAAAAATAGAGTTCCAGATATATAGTCCAAAGTCAGTTCAATGTAACCTGTACCAATAAACATGCGAAGAACGTCCATTGTAGTTTATATCAAATAATAAAGGAAACATTTTTTCGAAAGTTTTTCACATTTTTGATGAAAAATATTTGGATGAACGATTCTATCAAATATTCTTCGTTAACAAAGAAATTCGACTCTGGATACAATTTATTATGGCTCAAATGTTCTGTAAATCACCTTAACGTATTTTGTTCAGCAATTTGCATTTAATATAACTTTTGTAGGTCACAAGAAAATAAAAATTTTGAATTCTATGCACTTTCCTAGAATTTGTTACTAAAATTAATTCATAACTTTGTTACAAAACAATTTGCAATATAAAAATATAAACGAAACAGGAAATGAAAGATTTTTTAATCCAAAGATATATCAAATTGTGGATATGTTGTAATGATTATTACCCTCATTAAATTTAATGTTCAGATTACTTAGGATCAATATTTTGAATACCTATTTATTTGTTGACCTTTAAGATTTAAAGAAAGTAAGAACTTTGTAAAGCTGTGTTCAAACTTTTTTAATGAGCAGATTATTGAGGACTGATCAAAGTCATTATTTAATTTTATTTTATCAAGTCTCAATTTCTTCGCAATTTGGTCATCCCTTCCATTTTGAACATTTTTTTAATTTCTATTACCTGCATCAAGCTCTTTATGGCCTTTAACAGATAGCAATAATTTTGATTTTAAAAAGTTTTCCAAAACACAATTTACATACTAGTTCAATTATTGCTTTTAAGACCATTATTATGCGGACCTGTAACTTGATGAGGATACATTTTATGTCTTTGTATTTTATTTACATAGATTCGCGTTGATGGTTGTACTGGAAAACTCTCCTTTTCAAAAATGGGTGTCAGAAATGAAACATATCTCCAGCTCAAATCTCTGGCAACAGATCGAGATGGAATGGTGAGTAGGCCCTTCAATTATCCCAAAATGTTTCTCTCTGCAGAGAGGGCAGAATTGATAGGAAATCATATGTTAGTATCTGTTTGTAAACATTTACGTTCTGGTGAAACATTTTTGAAGTGTAAAAGTAAATCCATCAAATATATACTATTGTAGCTAACCAAACTTTATATTGCAAAATAAACATGAAATGAAAACAACGCATTTCCTATGGACATATTTATAAAGCGATTTGAAAGAATAAAATTAATATTTGCAATTAAACTATTCTTTCATTGAACAATTGTGATGATGCTATTAATTCTAAGGAATGATTGTTGTGTTTTGATGTTGTCATAACTTCTTGATATATACTAATTCACACTGCTATATGGAAGTACTTTTGTCCATTTACGTTATGAATTATCGTCAGAAATACAGTGCAACATATTTTAAACTTATATATGGAATGTAAAACATACAAAGATGTATTGAATGTATATGTATGGTCAGTGTCATGTACATGTCCTTGGTTGTCTGTAATGAAAATAAAGGAAGCATCTTCCATTTCCTATCCATGTGTTTTGGTAATGCTTTAATTTACACATTTTAATATAAACTTGACAATATGCATGATATGTATTTTTGACGCACCTGCTTCTGTTATTGTCTGTCTGAATGCACAACTGATTCTTCGCTTTCTTCTGTCAATGTGACAGACCTATTTATTTCAGTATGGGACTTGGAGGAGCGGCAAGGAGCGGCTGATGGAACGAATTCAGCCGTCGCACACTTACAGGTCAATGATGAACAAGGACGCTGAGCATTCATTTACAGATAATAGAATTAGAGTCACTACTAAGCTGGTTAGTCCCTTTCAATTATGAATAAATTGCACTGCCTTCGTTATCTACTTCACCTTCATGTTTTCTTTCATTTTAAGGGCTATATATTTTGTCACAAAGTATTTTGGGACTCCTGGATTAAGTTGGAACAAAACAGCTCATGGAAAACAAAATCAACTTAATGTTTGCATTATAGAAGTTTGATGGTTTAAATTAAAAGCAAGGGTACTCAAATTATGAGCTGCTATTTTCAAGTCCTTCTACTAGGATAAAATATATTTAAAACATTTTGTGGATCATCATTGCAAATGAAGTTATAAGCCCATTTTTTAATTATGTGAAGTTGAAGAATATGATAAAATTATAGTAATCGTGATCGTAAAATCACATATTTTCGTGGGGTCAAATTTTCGTGGTTTGAGTAAAAAACTCTTGGTTTGTGTGAATGAAGAATTGAGTAGATAAGCATTTAACATTTAGTGGTGGACATGAATTCGTGGGTCTCTTCATACCTCGAAAACAACGAAAATTAAACCTCTACGAAAATTTCCTTTTAGAGATTCAATGTCATACTTCAAATTATATAGATATATCAAACAGCAATATCTAAAACATATTACTGAAGGATCTTATATTGATAGAGCTGTTACCAGTTTTATTCATTCTTTTTTTGGTTTCTCTCCATAGGAGCCGCCTTTTGTTCAGTGGAAGAATGATTCCGGGGGTGGCAATAAAACGACAGACATCGGGGACCAACTCGAAGGATTTCTTATTAGTATATTCGAGAAGTTAGCAGACGACATAGGATTCGATTTTAATATTAGCTTAGTACCAGACGGAAAGTATGGTAGTTACAAAGGCAAAGTAAGAGGTTGGACGGGAATGGTTCGGCAACTTTTAGATAATGTAAATATTCCATTTACAACATTCTTCTGATGAAATGACTACCCGGGTTATGTTGTGCTACAAATTATATCAATAGAAACACAAAAATATTTATTTCTTTACCTTTTCAGAAGGCTGATATTGCTTTGGCACCTTTCCAAATAACACCCTCCCGATCTAGAGTTGTCGACTTTCCAAAACCATTCATGACAAAAGGAACCAGTTTAGTCGTTAGAAAACCTGAGAGGAGTGTGTCCCCTTTTCAATTTCTTATGCCGTTATCTCATGTTGTGTGGATTAATATTTTTGTGGCATATATATTTACAGCTTTAATGCTCTTTGGTGTAAGTCGTGTGAACTGTGATAAGCATGAAAGCTGTTTGAACAACTTCCGGGAAAGTTTCTGGTATATATGGGGTACTCTTTTACGAGGGAATCTGACCCAATCCCCCACTGGTATATCAAGCAGAATAGTCAGCAGCGCATGGTGGTTCTTTTCTTTAATAGTGATTTCAGTTTATACAGCTAATTTAGCGGCTTTTCTAACCATTTCTAATGCTCACATACCTATATCTTCTGCTGCTGATCTTCCAAAACAAAGTGATTACAATTATGGTACTGTAGAAGGAAGCCAAATAGAAAACTTTTTCAGCCAAACAAACATCAGTCACTATCAAACTATGTACGCACATATGAGAATTACAGATGGAGCTATAGTAAGGAGGGTGGAAGATGGTTTCCGCAAAGTCCGCACAGAAAAATATGCCTTTCTTTGGGACTCTCCTATAATACGTCATGCAATTTCTACTGATTGTAACTTGATGGAGATAGGGAGTCCCTTTGACCTGAAGGGCTATGGCATGGCAGCAAGAAAGCATTCACCACTAACGGAAAAGCTCTCTCTTGGAATTTTGAAATTAAATGATAATGGAGAATTATACAAACTGGAAGGAAAGTAAGTATTGTTTCTTTTAAACATTTTATAAATTATAATAATTTTTATCAATAATACTTATAAAAGTGAATTTCTTTGTGCTTTCTATATACATGTATATGGTCGCACTCTCGTAAATCATTGGACCTGATCTTATTTGAGCCGTCCTTTGCTGGGTCTACCATTAGATTAACAGTCAGCATTCAGGCCTCATTTGACAGTCCCTATCATTCAAAGAGCTCATTGACTTGTATTATATTCTTTTCTGGTCCTTGCTAGTCGAACTGTTGGCTTTTAAAGCCGAGATGAGAGTGTGGCGAAGGACAGCATCGGTAATGTAATTTTGACACCTTTCACTGAGAGCCCCCTGGAGACGCTGTTTTAGATTCTGTATGTTTTAGGCTTTCTGGATTTCTTTTCTTCTGTTTTTTGCATTTCTACCAAGTCTTCTCTCCTTGAAGCTCGTAAAATCAATGTAAAATCTTTTTTTTTGGCCACACAGTAATGTCACATTATTAGACTGATCCGGTTGAATTTTGGTTTGAAATGAAACATATGGAGATAACGAACAGTGTTCAAGATCAAAAGTCTATAAAACAATACAAAATAGGAGTAGAGCAAACACGGACCTCCAAAAAATCAGAGATGGGATCAGATTCCTTGAAGGAATGAGCATACCTCTTCATTTTTTTTTTAAAAAAGCATTACATTTTTTATTGAAATTAAATCATTTATAGCCCATCTATAATTCTTGATTTGTTTGAATCCCTCATAGGATTTGCTTAAAATGTTAAGAGACAGTTTGCAATGCCATAACAGCATAATTGAATTCTTTGAATCTCTTTTACTCAAAACAACGGAATACAAATTGCAGTAGAATAATGATTATTCGTGGAGGTCAATTTTCGTTGGAAAGCAAAATTCTGCTGCTTCTAGGAGAACATACCTGTATATTTTACTAGTATATACAAAACATTAATTTATTAAATGTTTGATACAATAATTGTTCCATGAAATCCACGAACATTGTTCCCATCAAACATAGTATGATTCCACAGTATTCGCGATTGGACTCTTTTAACAACAAGAATTTATTGAGATATTTAGATTTATGCTTTATGTTATGTGATAAAGTAATTTAAACATAAATTTTATTATTCAGATGGTTTGGTATCCCTACCTGTCCAGACCCGCGTTCCAGTGCAAAGAGCCAAGAGATTAAAATGGGCGTGGCCTCTGGAATGTTTTATGTTTTGACAGGGGGTCTTGTCCTTGCTTGTATTGTATTCATAATACAATGGCTATATCATAAACGTTCCAAGAACCAAGATCGAGAAAACAAACAAGAGGTATTTAGTCTTATTCTATTTTCGATATAGCTTTCTTTTTCCAAAAGAAAATTTAGATCTCTTTAGTCAAGGACATCTTTTAAATATAGCTGGATAATTTTTTTCTACCAGAATTTAAAATGAAAAATAGATTATTTTCATTGAAAATATTCAAAAATTTATTTTGAAAAATGCAACGTAATTTCCTTGAAAATTTTCAAAAGACGGCCACTATGGGTAAAGCACAGTCAAATAGTTTATAATAAAAATACAACCAATTTCACGTTTTGGTTGAAACCAGAATATTTTACATCTTTGTGTAGAATATCTTGAGAAAATCATAATCAATTTAATTGTCATAATTCTCTTATTTTATTTCAGCAAAGTAAGGCAGAAGAAAACAATATTCACAATCACACGGACCGCAATACCTCATCAGAACTGGGGAAGGATAGGGATGATGAACTGATCACTGTGTTGACTAGAACACTGAGTATCGGTGAGAATTCAGTCCACAGTAGGTGGCAAGGGGAACATTTATAACAGCATATTGCAAGTGTCACAACGTCTTCCACACGCACATGTTTTCTTCATAAGATTCATTTCAACATTCTCTGCATTATCTTCATTTTTATCAGAATTTTTCCATTTGTCAAACACTGTATTCAAATGACTTGTTTGTGATATTGTATAAAGTTGTATTAGATAAACGATAAATAGGGAATATGTGACGTTTATGCAAACTGGTTGATTTTGATGCCAGTAAACTAGTTTTTTATTTGTTTGTTTAACATCTCAGGAATAATTTATTTGTTTTATTGTCTTTTTTTTCATTTTAGTTATTTTCATTATCATTGACGAGTATCATCTAACATAATGATTAGTTTTGCGTCACAGCTGGTGTGATAAAATACTTTTGATTTGCATCAAATCATATATTTTCATTTTCTTGGAGAGATAAATAAGTATTAAAAATTCATTTGACAATATAATTTTAACAATCGATTAAGTAACAGTTATACCCGGTAGTGTAAGGAATAAGTTTAAGAAAGCTGTTGAATGTATTTATTTTATATTGTGAAGAGTCAATAATTCTACTTTGTCATGTGATATATCTGAGGCTATTTTAAAATGCAAGTCCAATTCTAATTCATTCTGATATATGACAAAATCTTAAAATTCGATTGGATTTTAATTACTTTTTGATCATAATCATTCATTTTTGTCTGAATAATGTTGGGGGATGAAAATGTGCTCAGTTTGATGTTTATGGTTCCTTCCCAGTAATTACTTAATTGAATTGAAACTGTTGGTTCAATGAAGTCGATGATAGATGAATACTACCGTCAACTGCTCAATAACTCAGAAAAACACTTATAAAATTGTGAGCTAAATTAAATATTGAAATATCAAACACACACGAACTTTTACAATTATTCTTTTGAATTGCTGTTTAAACAGTTCTAGATTTGAGGGGAATTTGATTTGCTATCAATTGTTTGCAAGCTAAATTTGTTTCTGCAATTATTTTGTCAATGTTACAAAATTTAATTTGCTTTCTCGTGTAATTTCTATTATTTGAGTCTCTATCTAAAATTTTATTAAGTTCGGTTAGTTTTTTTCTTTTCGTTTTGATCGAAGCTTTTTGAAAATATTGACATGATATAGTTGGACTCAGTATGTTAGAAATAAGGTTCAATTCTATTTTTTTTATTTACCTGATTCAATGTACAGCATTCAAAAGTTGTAAATGTTATCTTTAAAGCCTCGCATAATTAAGTTGCAACCCTGCAATTCCTATTGATTCCTTTTGAAAATCCTCATGAATTAGTGCTAAACTTAAGCCTCACTTTTAATCATTTCATGCTGCATTTTGTCACAACAAAACTCATTTTTGGGCGGATTAGCTAACTTTATATTAAGCTGAAGTATGTACATGTACATAATAAAGAGGTGAATGATATCTGTACTCTTGATGAATTTATGTGCCTTAATAAAATGTTTTTCTTGCACTGTTTTATTTTATTAATTGATTTCAGCAATTTTCCTAAATGTATTCAATACAGATAAATTTCAAAGGATTTTTAACTATGTTCTTTGGTTATGAGAGAACCAATTCTGCTGGTCTAATAATGTTTGAGCTTATGAGTTCCCGAAGCAACGCATTCTTCAATGAGATTTTCCCAATCAAAATCTAAGAATACAATTCAGGAAGGTTAGCGAAGATATCAGGGCACACCAGCTATTAAAGAATTATATTGTTTGTCACAGTGTAATGTAGATGTGTCTCCAAGACCTTGTAGAAAATACTTAATGTGGTTGTGAAATGGAAAATAAAACCCCGCTACAAGAGTACACATTACATCACGTGAATGATTTGCTTCCTCTGATAATCTTGATTAATAGTCACAGTTTTATGTTGGAGCTGAAACGGATCCACTTTACAGCGTTGGAGTTTTATATCAGTAGTCCAAACGGTTAGACTAATTCATTATTATTTTTATCTCCCTTGTTGCCAATAAACCCCAGAGAGGTCGCTTCAAATCATAGAGGTCAACTTCCGGCGATTAGTAAGGCAGAGATAAATAAATCAAAGTGATATTTTTCTGATCGACCGTCATATAACTGTAAGAATTGGTCGATTTGCATCTGTAAAATATTACAATGGCTCTCGGTATCGATCTCACAATTTTCCACTTACCTAACGAGAACTGCACCTTCTGGGTGGGTTATAAATATCATAGAGGTAATACTAAAAGAAAGGGTAAAAAGGAATAAAAGACAATATGAATGATGTAAAAAAAATAATGAAAGGTCTTATAAATCATGCTTATTTCGAAAGAAATATTACTTTTATGTTAAAACAATCATAAAAATATGTCGTTAAACGGCCCTTAAACTTCCAACAACAAAAAAGCTTTCGGTTTACATGACTACATTAGATATAATACACTCTAAAATCCAATAAATAGTTTGTTTTTGTAAGAAAATTAGGTAAACATAAATAAGCTATAGATAAACTTAAACGCATTTGCCATTGATAGAAAGCTTGAAGAATATCAAGACAAAGTTCCTCTCAAGTCATATAAAATGTTTCAAGAAATACTTTTGCTTCGAACAAAAATTTTTTTTGACTTTTTTAACATAGTTTAAAATTGTCTTATCAAAAGTACTTTCATTGGTATAAAATAAATTTATCTTTTATTATTGTAACGGTAGTGGCGAAATTAGTGATTTTTCACCGGTCGCCTGGAGAGACTTACTTTTTCATTGCACCTGAACCCATCTCTGAAGTTTTAATGGGGCCTGTGATTGTTCTGCTTTTTTGTATTGTTTATTTTAACTACTGATCATAATTATATTCCGTAATCTTAATATAGAAAATGTGCTTAAATCCTTATTAAACGTGTATCAAACGTATATCATTTGAAGGTATTCGGTAAGGGTTTCGGGTTTATAGAAGGGAAGGGCTATGTTAAGCTAATTTTACCATAAATCACTTGATCATTTAAGAAACGGCAAGCCCTCTACTGACAATTAACTAAGAAATACTGTATGTACGTTGAATAAACAATGTATTATACTTTTATTTTTTCTTGGAGGAAACTTGTCAGAGAAGAATGTCTAACCATGCTGTTGGCATTTTCCACATGAAATCTACAGTTGTACACTTTAAATACAAACAGATACATTTTTGCGGACGATGACTTAAAAAAAGGTTACAAATAGGATCCCTTGCAGATACAATGTAACTGAAAAATTGAATTTCCTCTATCTCCTTGATAACACATATGGGGGCTGTTGAATTAGGATTGTTTGTCTACCACATGCCGACTGATTGTGTTATAAATGCTTCTGGTCCTCATTAAGTAGGTGTTGGGATGATTTATGAATGAATCTGTTTCTTGACTTTGTAACGATATATATCAGTAATCATGACCAAAAAAATCATAAATATTTATTTTGAACGAAAATTAGACACATGTGTCTATTAAACATTCCAATAGATACAGTACAGAATCCTTTCATTCTACCCAGGTGTGCAATCATGGTCAAATGCACTCAAAAGGCAACATGGTAACAAACAACATACTTATCAGCTTATAATAAATGTTTTACCCAACATCTTTCTTGATCCCTAATTAAAATATTGGCAGCTTTGAAAGATGAACTTCAGAATACTGTTACAAAAATTATTCGAAAAGTTGTGTACATCAGAGGAGGACTGTTGAACACAGTTACACACTTTATACAACCATTTTCCAAATAATTTAAAATAAAACCAGATTTTTTACATCGTATAAAATGCACGATTGTTCAACACTGTTCAAAACTTTATGCAACCATACCACACAATATTTTAAAACAATGCAAGCTTTTTTGATACTTGTATCATAGCTGTTTTTTATGAAAATGGAATTCCTGAAATTAGCTTTCCTGCCATTGATCATTTAAAAAAAACTTTTTATTTTATTTTGAGTCCCCCGAAGATGATATCTAAATATGCCCGAGTTTTTTTTTAATTTACAATATCTGCGAATTTATTTATTTAGTCTTTCAACAATCTGACACGGATTCCAATCCTTATAATTAATTCTACTTTAGTATTCAAACGCAGCTTTAATGTATTGAAAAACTTCTATATGAAAACAGAAAGTCTCTTTCTTTTGCATTATGCTCAATATTTTAATAAATCGACGACGTTTTCTGAATAATAAAAGAATTATTTCCATTCCTACCTTGATTAGTATCTTTCTATGAACTCGAAATAAAAAATACTAGAAATTGTGTTACATCCGTTGCATATTTACATGTTTTTAAAAGAGGACTTAACCTAATAAAAATAGCAATATACCAAACCACCTGAAGATGTCTTCCACTTGATTTTGATTCGCAAGAGTTTCTTGGTTTCTAATATGAAGCAACTACATTCGTTAAAGTCAACATTTCTCAAATTCTTCGTCGATACAATGGTTCTGTCAGCAATTACAATCTAACATTAAATCTAGTTCTTACCGGGTCACTGAATTTTTTCATACAAACGATTATGATTTTTTTTTCAATTGTCTACCGATTTTCTTCTGTTTTTGATTATAACGAGGAGAACATGGTGGTTGTATTCGTTCGACAGGGAATGTTTACTCCTCCATGGGACCTGATCTCACCTCTGATGTTTTTAGAGGACGATTTGGGCTCTGTTTTAATATTGCAATGGACTTCTGAGCTTGATTACTGTTATCGTCATATTTCATTACGGAATCTGTGATGTTTACAATTAACCAAAACTCTTAAATAAATACTGCTATCTCTGGTTTTGCCGTTGCTATATATAGAAATTTTGCAACTGACCAGTTATATTCTCCTGACGCTAACAATCCACAGACTGTACAGTTGTATTCTAATGATATACAGTCTATCTCTTCTTATAATAATATCTGTGCTGTCCATTAAGCGTCCTCAAATGATGAAATAAACCTCGTCAGCATCTACATAAAATCGTCTCTTATCGACTCACTATACAGGAATGGTGATTTTATATCTTCTAAGTCCCCTCCACCACTTCCCTATCTTGACTTAACTTCACATGACGAGTTCATGAAAGATAATTCCTCATCTATCAAAATTGATTTTTTTGTGTCGCTTGAAAGTCAAGTCATCGTTTTGTAACCATACACGGAATGTCTTCAGTTAATCTTCCTTCTGGGAGTAAGGGGCATATTTCAAAGCCCCCGCCTGACTTCTTTGTAACTCAAGAAATTACATCATGATTGTACATCATATCAAGCAATCTGATGTCTGGCTTGTAATCATTGATCGTGGTACAATAAACATAATTGTACAGAACCTACTGAGTTAGTTTCAACCTTTCGACATCTTGAAGCATATCAAGTATGATAAACAGTGTGTTTAGGTGAACTGTCTCAGTCTTGTAAATCAAAAGAAAGAACGGGGCTAATGTGCACGTCCTGTTATGAATATCAACGTAGCATAAAGACTGTAAGTGTTTATCAAGCTTATAAGTCCGTCTCACGCCCTGCATCATTTTGTATTCCTGGCACACTCATTGTTTACTTATGTTTCCAATGATTTCTTCAAGATATTTTCTTCAATTTTTGTAAAAAATACACGTTGATAAGTGGTTCAACTACATATTTGACCTCATTATTTTTGATTTAAGTTATATTTCCTAAAACTAAAAACAGTGAGGCATATTTGTTGCCATAATTTTCTTAACTTGACAGCCTAGCGTGGTGCAGTGGTTAGAACGTTCGCTCTTGAGTCGCAGAGTTCAGTATTGATCTTCACGTCGCAGGCTCGAATCCCGCTGTGGAACCTGGAGTCCAGTCCTTCGGATGAGACCGTTTAAACCCAAGAACTTGTTACGCAGTAGGGTTTAGCACGAAAAAATTTCTTCGCTGCTTTATGGCCTTGAGTGTCCTGTAGAAGTGTAAATTTGCAAGCTATCCACGCAAAAACTATTTCCTCTCAATGACAGAAAAAAATTCAGAAGTCCATTTAAACAAACAAATTAAGAGCAGAGTCAGGCTATATATATCTTAAAAATCAGAAATACAATCAGATACCATTGAGGTGAAACTTTCTCCCTGGACTGGTAATATCCACCGTGTACCCCTTGTCATGATCAGATAAACAGAAAATCCGTAGACTATTCCGTGTGGACTTATGGTCTTACAATATGCATGAAAGACTTCAAACAACAATGATTGATTGATTGAGTTTCACTCATATGGAGACACCACCACTTGCTGGTGGAGAGCTGCAAATTTAGTCCTATACTCGGCACTCAGGGCCATTCAGCAGGGAGGGATCTTTTTCGTGCCAGCACCTACTGCGACACGGGACCTCGGTTTATACGGTCTCATCCGAAATACCAGTCTTCACGTCCCACAGTCGGATTCGAACCCGCGACGTAAGAATTGACTCCTTACTTTGCGACTCTAGAGCAGACGCTCTAACCACTGCACCACGGACAAACAATAATAGACTTAAC